CACACACACACATTGTAGTAGCAGACTTAACTGTTAAATTTAGAAAAATGCACCTATTTACTTGAGTACATTCATTCAGTGAGAAATATAAGTTGAGAAATGGTGGCACAATTATTGGCAGCTGTAGAAATGCCTTCAAAATAAATTCAGCTGGTTCTTCTTCATTAGAAACGAGGTCCAGGCCCAGGCAGGAAAAGATGATGCGTTTAAAATTCCAGACTCGCTTTTATACGGAACAATGATGCGCCTACAAGAATTACAATGGTGCGCTGGTTCTGGTCCTGAAGAGACACGTTACTGATGCGACGCATACAATTCGCTTCATTATTAATTTAAATTGTCTGGACACTGTTCTGAACGATATGCACCGAGGGAACCATGGCCTCCGTTTACATGGCTGTGTGTGTGTGTGAGGAAAGTAAGAACAGACTAGCGGGCCGGTGGCTCATCAGCTGTCAGATCGTCCTGTCTGGTCTGACCCAGCTGGCTCTTATTTATCCAAACCACTGAGTCACATCTGATTTTGCACATATTTCTGTCTCCTAAAACTGGCAGAAAAATGACAATTTCTCACTCCCAACAAAAGCCATGGTTTTTTTGGCCAAACGAAAAACACCAAGAACAAATTCCCTGCTCCCTCCCATCGACAGGACACTGATGCGACCACTGTATTTAACTACCTTTTGTGTGTGTGGGGGAGGGGGACAAAAAGCATATTTTCACCTAAACACAGATGTTACTTTGTCTTTCACTCACACTTCTTTTCTCTTATTTTCTCAAAGCTGGCCTCAGATGTATATTCAGTTGGAAATGCTGTTTTGTCTTTGTCACAAATAAAGCAGAGCAGCTACTCAAGTCACCAAAGCTACGTTTCCTTACTGCGGAGCTGGCCTCGTCCGCTGGTCCGAGTGCAACGGCGACGTGATGGTCGGCGTCCAGCAGGCTCTCCTGCGGGAGCACACCGACAGACACGTCAGGACAGGGTTTGAAATTACCTGCAAGAGTGAGTGAAAATAGCCATCTGTCTCCGTGTGTTAGCTCTGTGATTGACTGCGAAAGACCCAGCCTGCCTCTCCCGCATGACTTTTTAATGATAAACAGCAATTGCTGAGAAATGGCTGAATACTCGTGTCTGTAAAGTGTCAAAAGCTAAACAAGCAGCAAATCCCTCCGGAGCCACGGGCGACATTCTGTCACAAACCAGGGCGTACCGTTTTAAAATTAAAAACAAATACGCACGGAAACTGAGCAGATTTCAGATTCATAACCGACAGGCGCCAGTTTTTCAAAGTGCGGCAAAGAAAAGAAACATATCAAAACAGTTAGTGGTAATTACAAGTCTACTTGGTTTAGCCTATTTACATTTTGTATTCTCATGTCAAGAAGATCAAATCGCAATGAGAAGAGATTTCCACGTTGTACTAAAAGTATCAAGACAGAACTGTGCAAATTATCATGTTGTATCAACGATTCGCCACAAAAAGACATTATAGAAACAAAAGAAAATCTCAGGTGTATGCAAAAAAACTAAATCGGCAATCTTATGCATTTGCTGCATGTTTAATAATATAAACTCATATATTGGATAGTTGGTTGTTTCAGCTTTGTCACTTGCTCATTTACAGCAATCTTTACCCAATTCTCCCCCACCCCATTTAGTTAGACATCTAAATGCATAAACGATATGAAAATTGTTTAATATCCTGAATTTATTTTGAAATGTGTCAAAGGCAATGACGGGTAAGAGGTGGTCATCATAAAGCTTTTGGGACTTGTGTATATTTGATGGGTTAACATTAGAATCCCTTCCTGGTGATCTATTTTCCGTAAGAAAACCAATGTTAAACATGGAAAAAGACATTCAGATGCTTTCTGAACCCAACTTACTTCAAATACCCACAAATCCTCTGGTTCCTCATCCAGATGCATCTTGGTCTGGCGCAGCACGGTGCCAAGTGTGAGCAGCTCAGGTGACAGGTGAAACTCCGCCCTCTGCAGGTTGAAGCCCAGACCTGTGCCGATGGCCTTGATGAAGCTCTCCTTCAGGGTCTTGGTGCAAAAAAAAAAAAAAAAAAAAATCAAGAGGAAACTTGATTAGCTAACGTGGACAGATAAAGAAAATGTTTTTGCTTGTGTGAGTAAAGCTGAAAGTGACAGTCTGAGCATGGACAGCGAGCGTGTCTCTGTGGTTCGAACTCCAGCAGATGAATTCACGCACACGTGTTAAAAGGCGTGCATACAAAAGAGGGGCTTTATGTCTCTGCATGCGCCCAGCCAAAACAAGCCATGCTCCATGGCCAATAAGCCACAATAACACCATTACAGGACTAATCACTATGGCAACCGTTGAGCTCTGCCATTAGTCAACAGTGTGGTGGTGATATCAGAGCTTTGACGTCTCTGTGCCGCCCTCTCATTCTCACAGCATCTTTACTTAGCTCAGCACTTGCTTACAGTGGCCATCTGTGTGTGTGTGTGTGTGCGTGCGTTCATGTCTTTGAAGAAGAAATGGAAGACGGGAAACAAAGCTGAGTACTGTGACAAGGACATAACGGGACCAACGGGAGATTAGAGGAAGGGAGAAAAGTGGAGGTGAAATTTGAATCAAAAGGAGGTCAAGCAAAATGTACAAATTTCTCTCTCTCTCTTCCACACACGCGCACGCAAACACACACGCGCACACACACACACACACCACCGCCTGTGGCGCCCGGCAGCAATGCAGTGTGATGACAGGGTAGTATGGTTGCCATGATTACCCAATGGCGGTAGAACGCGGCAAGCTGCTGGTGCTCCGAGGCGGCTGATTGGATGGTGCTCCATTCGTGCGCTGTAAACTGACGAGTCATGATGCGGAAAAACTCCGGGACGGAGTTGCTACCTGCAGGAGACGGAGACACGAGGACGCAGACGTGAGGAGAGGGGAAAAAAAGTGAGCAGACGGAAAATAATGTGCAAAAGCAAGTCACAACCTTAATTATCACAATGCATATTTGATTGTGGTGACTGAACACACAAGCTCTGGACCTACATTTTAAAATCGCATGTCTTATGAATACTTTTGTTAGACAACAGCAACACCTTGTGGATAACTTGTGAAACTACAAATCTAAAATAGGGCCACAGAATAAAAACGTTTACAACCAGCTGCAGAAATGGATTCATTATTGTGAATCTCTTATGACACTGCATTTATAGTTGCATTGAAACATTTCATAAAAACTCTAAAACTCTCACATTTGCTTTTATGTAGCAATAAAACTCATGCGTAAGTCTCAGCCTTCACCTGGCAGCGTGGTCTTCATCACATCTACTCCAACCTGCACCCCCTGCTGTGCAGCAAGCACAGCATAGTCGCCTTGGTGGGAGATGTTGAAACTCCAGGGTGGATCAGAACCAGTAGTGACCTGCATCGTTTTCAAATGCATTAAAAAAAAAAAAAAAAAGGTTTCTAGTTGATTTAGTGTGTTAGTGTGTCTTGACAGTCAGGTGAGGCTCCACGTGTGAAAATGAAGACAAAGGAGGGCTTTTAATATACAGATAATGTTCCAACAGGCAGAACATTGTGATACTTGTGTATGCAGCACTGGGGATGTCAAGATGGGCTAAATGTGACCCAAAGTGCCAGCAATGGCCTGTGAACAATCACAATCCAAGACATAAAATAAATTGCAAGTCCAAAATAAACTGGAATTTATTTAGGGGACTGACACAAGTATGAATGGTTATCATACGGACGGGGAAAACCCCCCACATAATTTAATAGTTATTTATTTATTATGACTTGGTAGTGCAACCCAAAAATCAAGTTCTGACCTGGGCAGATATTCATTTCACATTGTCGGGGGTCCCATGTGTCTCATGCTTAATGGGTTTCAAACAGTAACAGAGTAAAAAAAAAGAAAAGAAGAAGAAGTAGCATAAGGAAACACTTAACCTTAAATGAAACAAAGTTTTTACCTGTAGAGGGGCAGCCAGATATGGTTTCCCTCGAGGGGATCGGTTTAATCTGATCTGTGACCAGGGGATTCCCATCATCTCACAAACAAATTTCCTGAGCAACAGCCGGCCAGCCTGTTGGCACATATATATTTAACATTATAACCTAATAGGTTATTCAAGTCGCCAGCTGTTTCTCAATAGCATAAAAACATGGTGAGCTTCGAGAATAAGAAGCAACGATTTGTTTTGTTTTATGACACTGTTTTTATGTCATCCTGGAAATTGAAGACCCTTCAGATTTTTGTTAATCATTAAATCAATCGAAACTGTACATACATCCTTGAAGTTCTTGGTGTCTATTCAGCTAGGGTGCATTTTACTAACTCAATGACAGTGTATAAGTTGATCAGTCTACAAATTAATTTCCGTTCATGCATACCAATGACAGCTGCAGAAGGTGGGTAAACATTGCAGATCAGACTCACCATCGCTGACTTAGCATCCTTAGCGAAGACAAACTGTCCGATCCTGTCCTTCTCTTCTTGCTGGACACACCGAGCAGCAAACAACCATTCGGACCTGCTCGGTGTCCACGACCCGCAGCGGAAACCCCAGCGGACAGAGCCCATACCTGCTCACCTTCGTCATCTTAACTCCTGCAAAACTTCCCGCTGATCACAATAAGCTACCTTTAGCATGGCGTCCCAGCATAAACAAACTTAATTGTGTTGTATTTAAAATTTTGGGGTCTCGGAGAGATGCAGATGAAGAAATGTTGGAACTGGTAAACCAAGGCAGATAAAAATTAAACCGACCTTTCTGTTTACGTTGCTACTTTGACTCCGCTATATTCACCCGGAAGAGCATTAATGTCGTCAGAAGGGGAAAAGCGGGTCAGGATTGGCCAATACGAGCGTCTGAAACAGTGAGCTAATAAAGTTGCCTTCATGTACTTTCAAGAATGTTGTAAATAAGAAATAGAATCGTTAGGCGTAAGATTATTTCATTACTTTCTTAGTAAAATCCGATAAATATGACATGAAGTTTACAAAATTAATATGCTCTCAGCGAGTCTAAATTTCTTAATTTATATGTTTTCGTGTATTTTACAGAAAATTAAGTTTTTATTCTAAACTGTGACACACTAATTAAATATGTTATCTGTATGGTACTAATAAAAAAACAAACAAACCCGGAAGTGACATTAAATAAAGTTAATTTTAATAATAAAAAAATATAATTTAAACAAAAAATAACGGTCTGGTGTATTCTTCGTGGTTGGTGCCCAACTTGAGCCTCGGAAATGCTGGTGACGGACTGACCTGAAAAGCAACTGGAATTATGTCTAAGCGGTGTGGTTGTCTCTCTGCATAGCAAGGGACATATTTTTCTCACATATTATAAATAAATAATTACAAATAAACCGGGTCTTATTGTCTAAGACTGTTCAAGATTATGATTGTTGTTCTCCTCTGGCTTAGGCGTATGCCTCCATTATTATTTATTTAGCCATTTAATTAATTGATTGTCTTCTCAATATAGAAAGACAGCCAACGAATCCTACAGAATATTAATATTTTATATGATATAAATCTCACAGAAGCCAGCTGCACTCGTGGTAGCTGTAACATTTAATAATAATGTTGATTATTTTTGGTTTTATTTAGTTTTTTATTATTCTGAAAGTGTGGCATGTAAACATATTTAGTCGATCAAACTAAAAATTAGAAAAACAACACCTAGCATCGGGCCAAAACACCTTATTCCACAGATTTGATGTGACCCCTACCTGACTTCATGATGCTATTTATTCGTCAATCTTCCATAAGAAAATCAAAGTTTGATTTTGAAAGAAATTCAAACAACAATTTAACACATTAAAATGTGAAAAGTTCAAGAAGCTTTTACAAGTAGTATAGCTAATTAAGAGTAGTTTATGCAAAAAAAGTCTAGATAAAAGTTGTTTTTCTACATTTTAGGTTTTTCCACTCAAAATAATCAGTTATATTGTCCATATTCAACACTTTGTTACCACCAGTCTGGTCAGTCATTATTGAATTTAACTTTTCAGACTGAATTTCTTCAGTTAAATAACACCTTTACTACCACAGTATCAACCCTCAGTTTACTCTTCCTGTCTGACTCCCAGGTGGACTGCTGGATCCTGTCGGTTTGCCATGACTCTCAGCTCACCTGGCAACAGCACAGATCAGGATATAAAGGCGCAGCACCCTGCCAGGCCAGCGATAATATACTTTACTTGTCTGTTTCCACATCAAATCGGAACCTTATGGAAGCAGTAGAAGGAACCTTTCTGAGCGAAGCGTGAAGAAAGAAATACCTATAGACGGTGCACTCTCCTGGCCCACCTGCTGTGATTTCCTCACTTAGCTTGCATCTTTCCAGCTGGTGTTTCCTTAACTCCAATTCTCACACACACTCACACAGAGACAGCATCTAGTGGAACAGCTGGCATCCATCTCCCGGGAGGTGGAAAACTTCACATAAGACGGCTTGAGTCACAGAGGAAGTCTTCTCGGATGAAAACTGCAATACTTTTCAAACTGAAGCTCCTCTGCTAGACACTCGCTAACATTTATTGCTAACATCCACGCACCTTGAGGTCTAAAGATTCATTCTCCCCCTCACTTTTATATGTCATCTCTCGATTTCTCTCTTTCCTCCGTGTTTTGTAATCTCTCCATCTATTCCTCCTATTTGTTTGTCTGCTTTTATCTTATTGCATAACCTCCTCTCAGTTTCTTCTTGTGTATTTGCGAGGTTTAGCCCCCCGTCCTTTGCTTCTAACTGGATTTCCTGCAGTTAAAGCTTCTGAAAAGTAAAAGAAAAGCAACTCCAGTGTCAGAGAAACAGAGGTTCTTATCAGGGAAGTCCACAAGAGGAGAGATGTGTTGTTCTCCAAACAGCAGGTGGGGGTTTCCTTGTCTCTTCCAAAGTGATGTATCCAGTGGTGTGGTGCAGAAGCACAAGCTGTTCTGGGGATACTGACTAAAGCATGTACAGTTCTGTTCATTATGGAGAACGTAAGGATCTTTCTTTTCCTGATATTTCAAATGCGCAGATGATTACATTGGCTCAATTTAAAGTCTTTAAAAATATTTTTACATTTTATTCCTAAAAGACAGTTTTATTCAACTGTTCAGGTCCGAGCACATTTTGTGGCTTCCCTGGTAAAAGTGTGTAAAAAAAAAAAAAAAAAAAAAAAGCTCTAAATAAGTTACAGTTCATTGCATTAAGATAATTGGAGAGCATGAGGAGCTTTTTCCACTTATTCATTCTGTGTTTCCCACTAAACCTATCTGAAGTGCTTGTTGGAAAGAAATTCAATAATTGTCTCATCTGACCCATAATGTCCCAAAGCGATACTCAGGAGAGATACTGAAGCTCAACAGGATTACATTCGTTATTGTACGACATAAAATATTTTTTTTCTAGGCATCAATCTCAGATAATCAGTCGGCATATTGAGGTACACTGAATTTTTTTCCTTCCTTTCATTTTTACCCTTTTTTTTTAACCTCAATCATGCACACTGTTCTTTATAGGAACACCAAATAAACAGTAAAATATTTACAAACAGATAAAAGTTTAATTGAAAATGAATCAGTTGGAAGAAAACGCAATTCCTCCATGCTTGATTGTTAATGCTCACCTGACCTAAACTACTCAAAGAATGATGAGTTCATTGATTCTCTTGACTTAACATTGTTGAAGGGGGGGATTGTTAAAATACTGTATATAATATGAACAAAGACTTATAGGTAGAGGTAGACATTTTGTAACAAAAATAAAACATAAAACTAGGTTTCTTTGAGGAATAAATTCAGAAGGCAAAGAAGATAATTCTTTTTAAATCACATTTTCTATTCCGTCACTGATTAAATGGGTTTTGTGTGCTTTGTTCAGTAATTTTATTAGCTTCCGACAAGAACAACAATGGTTCATTTGAATACCGCTCTGAACACATTTGGAAATCCGTGCTGTTCAGTGCCAGTAAATGCTTCCTGACAGGACAAACAGAGCATCACTGGTTGGACTTGGGACTACACAGACATGGATTGTTTTAGCAAATTAGGTATTTTATTTAATTTGACAGCAGCCTGAATTACTCCTACACATCTGCAGCACAGCAAGAGCTCCCTGTTTCCTTGCAACGCCAAAGCTGAGATAATAATCCATGTTAGTGTTGTTAGACCAGAACAGTCTAATTGCTGGTTCTTGTTGTTTTCTTCTCTGTGGGTCTGAGCAAAAACGCTGCAGCTAATGAGCTGAAGAGGCAGAGATGGGAAGAAGTGGCACAAGGTGTGAGTGCACTTTGGGGAGGGGGAGAGATGCGTTCTGCAGGAGAAGTGCATTTAATCTTCAAAGCGTAGTTTGATGCACTTAAGCTTAATTTCTAATCAATGCACGTTTCTGTTGTTTTTCCGTATTAATTTCCGTCTCGGATCTGCCTCGGAGGTGAAGCGATGTTATGACAGCTTGAAGGCTGAGCTTCCTTTCTCCTCCCCAATCTCGTTCCTGGCAGTGAAGCCCGAACGCTATCACTCCTCTCCTGAGCACAAAGCCGCCTCTCCTGGGTTGGGATGTGAACAGCTGCCTGACCTCTCTTGGCTTCCCAAAGGATGGCCAGCGTGAGTGGCCAGAGCCGATAGAGCTCAGTGAGCCGAGCGCTGCGGTCTGCGGTGGCACATGTGGGTGGGAAGATGGAGAGCGACATCTGTGAATACGACGTGAGAAACATAAACTAACAGGCAAAAAAATGTTGGCAGAATAACGGCGTGTTAATTTTACTGTGCAAGTATTGATATCTGTTAAACCATTTCACATGGCATCCACAAATTGATTTTTTTTATTTTTATATGAAACATGAAGTGCCACATATTTGTGAAGCATGACTGGAAAGGACATGTGTTTTTCACTACATGTGGTGTATGTGTCATCTAGAGACGCATTATTGTGCGTTTATCTTTGCAAAACAGCTCAAGCTTAGTCTGAGTGGATGGAGCCTGTCTGAGAGTGTAGGCTTTAAAGGTCTTGCAGCAGATTCTGAATTGGACTTAATAACAGACTTTGACCCATTCTAAGGCATTATGTAAACCATTAAATTGTAGCCTGATGTGTATTTGAAAGAACTATGTAAACCATGTTTTATTTATTAGTTTTTCTTCTACTTTACATGCTATTCTACACTACCTTGTGGTGGTCTGTGAAATCCCGATATAAGGGTAATATATATATATATATTTAAAAATCCATGGATATTAATACCTTTCTGAAAAATATTTAAACAAACAAATAAAAAAATCCAGCATGTCTTTGCCTTGCACCTCGTATTACCACTACCCACGTTAATTCTTGCAGCTGGTGTTGACATTCAAGAACAACGTTTATGATGAGTAGCAGAATTAATGTCCCCCATCAGCAAATGTTTAAAACGTCAGAATGATTATGTGTTTCATAGCTCAAGTGGCTCTTGAGCCCGTCTGGTGATTGGGGCCCTGTGGCTTCACAAGGTGGAAATTATCATCAGAATGTGCTAAACAAGAATTAAATAGAGTTTGACTTTGACATGTTGCTGTTTTGTAGATACAGATGCTTCTAAATCAATTCCAAATCACGACTCATGTGTTGATTTGAAAGTGTTATAGTTGAATTAGCTATATACCAATACCTTTTGTTGTAAAAAAAAAAAAAAAAAATCCCAATTTTCTTGTGCTTTTTGCTGAGTTATTACTGTTACACATTACCTTTGAGATAACAGAAAACAACAAGCAAAACAATTACAATTGCAGGCATTTTTCCCTGGAAGTATTTCAGAAAAATCAGTTGCCAAAACATAAAACCGGAAACACTTTATCCAGTGC